TTTCTCGGTGGCACACAGTTTTATTACACAGCAGGAAAGAAGTGCTTGGGGATAATACCTGTTTCACATGCATGTCAGTATAATGAATGCTGCTATTGTTCTTCCTTCCATAGCCACCCACATGGTAAGGCGTTATGAACAAAATGAGGATTTATATAAATAGAGTTTTCGTTTTATGGAAAACCTGCTGATCCAACGGATTGAGCATCCTTCGCTTGCCACCCACTGCAGCACTATAATGCAAGATTTAACTTTGAATTTGCTTTTTTAACTTTCCCATGTGGAATTCCCCAGGCCTTGCATTAGTTTTCTATGTAACCATGACTATTTTAAGTTGCTTTGCTATACAGTAGCTGTTAGGTGTACAAGAGCAGGCAAAATACTAGCTGGGTTTTCCTTTCCGTAGTTCTTTCTGAAACTTTTTCTCATATTGCTGTTACAGAGGTCATGATAAATGATTCCCAGAGCATTATCAGGCCAGGGCCCATGGCACTTTATTCCCCCAATGATTTCTAATACTGTTAGAAGTAATGTCCCACTAAAAATTACCACTTCTAACCTTCATGATAACTTAACGGTGATGGTGGTGTTGAAGGTGGGACAGGAAAAATCCTATGATATGATTCACACATCATACAAAACAAATAATGTGATTTGTTTGGGGCTTAACATCAGAGGTGGGTTTTAGCAGGTTCTGACCAGTTCTGGAGAACCAGTAGCAGAAATTTTGAGTAGTTCGAAGAACTGGTAGTAAAAATTCTGACTGGCCCCATCTATTCTCTGCTTCCCAAGTCCCAGCTGATTGGGAGGAAATGGGGATTTTGCAGTAACCTTCCCCTGGATTGGAGTGGGAATGGAGATTTTACAGTATCCTTCCCCTGGATTGGAGTGGGAATGGAGATTTTACAGTATCCTTCCCCTGCCACGCCCACCAAGCCACGCCCACAGAACTGGTAGTAAAAAAATTTGAAACCCACCACTGCTTAACATGATGCAAACATGAACCTGAATGAATAAGCTATGATTAGTTTTAGGTAATGAGCCACATATTGAAATGATTGGGTAGGGGCGGGGGGATTGTTTCATTCTGTATGAATAAGAGTACAGAATTAACTTATGAATTCCTGACTGATGCCTTGTTTATTTGTACCCCATCCAATCCTGAGCTAATTTGCAGAGGATAAGGCAACTGCAGCTAAGGGAAGGTAGAAACAAGAAGTTGGACAAACAAGCTATAATCACTTTGCTCATATGAAAAACACTGGCATGCATCTGGCTTGTTCAGCAAGCCCCGGTTAAAATGCAATCAGTGAATATGGGGGGTGGGGGGGGGGGGGGGGAAGAGAGAGAAAGAGGGGGGGGGAGGGGGGGGGGGGAGGGAGAGAGAGAGAGTTTCATGGCTATGCAAGACTGTCTTGAAAGTGTCATAGCCTTTGAAGCTGTTGTTTGCCACACCAGATGAATCCTACCCTGGTATAATAAACCTTTATTTGAAAGCTTTTGCTTGTTGAACCATTTGTTCCTTGAGCACATGATCCAAGAAATGCTAGGGAGAGAGAAATTGAAGCATTATTCCTCAGATTGCTGCCAGACACTCTCTTCCTGATCCCTTTGTTGTGAACAAACAAAGCACTGGAATGCCAATCGTCCTAACAAATTTGTTTTTGAATTTCACGCGAGCTTCTGTTCTGCCTGACATCTCATAACTGAATATCAAAATGTCTTGATGCTGCTACATGTTCTTAAAATGGGAGAGCACCATCTCTCACATCCTACCGTTTTGATTGGCTCCCAGGAAACCTTTCAGAAAAAGCAGTAGTAAGATCTGTCAGGCATGGATACTATGAAGTTATTTATTATTAACATTTTATTTAGTATTAAATTTAATATTAAATTTACTTAGCACAAAGTAACACTAGTCTATTTAGGATGCATCCCGAAAATCTACATGGGAAATATCGGGAAGAACCATTGTAATAAACAACTGAAATTTGTTTATTTTTTTCCTTCTTTAACAATATACATTTAGATTAAAACACATCTACACATACCTGTCCAAACTTTTAAAAATGTATAAGAGGCCTTTGATTCTAGTGAGAGCTTTTAACTGCTTTTCATCTAACTATCCCAGTAGCTTTTATTAAAACGCATAGACCTGTGATGGCGAACCTATGGCACAAGTGCCACAGGTGGCATGCGAAGGCCTCTCTGCTGGCACACGAGCTGTCACCCAGCTCACCTCTATCATACATGTGTGTGCGCGTCTCCTGCTGGCCATCTGACTTTTGGGTCTCTGGTGTGGGAGTGGGGTGCATGCGGGAGATGCGCGTGCATGTGCAGAGGGTTGCGCGTGCATGCACAGGGGTGGGTGGGATCACGCACGTACATTTTAGGTCCCAGGAGGATTCAGGGAGGCCTATCAGGCCCAAAACGGGATGGGGGGGTATGGCGTGTACCCCCACAGCCTGTTTTTGGTCCCAGGAGGCTTTAGTGAGGCTTGCCAGGTTACGGGGGGTCACGCTTGCATGTGTGGGGGTCAGGGGGGACATGCGTGTGCGCATGTGTAGGGGGTGGGGCACGCAGGGGGCATTGCATCATGGGTGTGGGCACGCACACATGCGCCCGCCCCCGTGAGACCCTCACTTTTGGCACATGATGGCAAAAAGGTTAGCCATCGCTGGCATAGACAATAAAAATTCAGTGGATGACTTTAAATGAACCCAGTGGCCCTTGGCTTGTCAGACCCTTTAGAAAAAAAAAATGCTAATGTTTCAACACTGGATGTTTTATCCTCCAAGTGTGAATGACAGTGATGAAGAAAACACTTTAGAAGGTTTAGGCCTACTGCCGTTTAACAAATGCCAAGGGAAAATTTTCTCTGCCCTACAGATTTCTCCAGAGAAGTCTTGAAATTTTAATATGCATGCTAAGTTGTCATTTCGGGAGCTCACTGAAAAAAGAAAGCCTAATAATAGTGATTACATTTATATGTAATCTAATGAAAAGGTGGTGAGAAGTCCAATGATCTATAAAAATGAAAGAACCCTGAATGGCTCGAAAGTAAATTCAAATTTATTTCCAATCATTTCAGACATTTGTGGCCATTTAGTTTGCTGATTAAATTGCCTTAATTTTCTTGGTGATAAGTGCATAGTGTGGAAAGTAGAGTCTAGAACAGGGTTAATCCTAGTTTAAAATTCCCTTTGAACTCTGCCTATCAAGCAGTGGTGGGTTGCTACCGGTTCGCCCCGGTTCAGGAGAACTGGTAGCAGCGGCCGCGGGAGGCTCCTCCCACCCGCACGTCATCAAATACACTCTGCGTATGCACAGAAGTGCAAGCGAACCAGTAGCAAAGGTAAGTGAAACCCACCACTGCCATCAAGACATTTTCATGGAGTTCTCATGAAGATAACGTTTGGCTAGATGAATGAGAAAGTCACATCTACCCCTCCGAGCTCCTTGGAAAAATGGATCTTTGTGCTCGCCCCTTTTTAATGGCTGATTTATTTAAGAATGGACATTCTCAGTTTCACTTCCTCCTGCCTTCCCTGCCTGCTTCCTCATGATTATCCTTTGCTTGATGCGAGAAACTGGAGCTCTTTCAATACTTTCACAGCCCTGCCTGTGGGAAAAGAATGTATTATTTGTGTTTAAAGAGGGATGTTTTGAAATGTTCAATCTCCGCAACTGCTTCCCTCTTCCTAAATTCTGATGATTGCTTAGCAACCAATTGCTTGACTTCTGTAATTCAGCCACTGGGTAGACATGCCATGCTTTACATTTGTCATAAAATAGGGAAGAGCCATCATGGAAATTAGCTAGCAATTCATCTCTTAAAAATCTGAAATCATAAAATTCGGAAAGAGCAGGGTATGAAGCTGAAAGCAGGAAGGGGGCTTTGGCTACATGGCTCATTTCAGAGCTTTGTTAGGAGTTTTAATCAAAGTTCCCCCAGCAACCTGAGGCACAGGAAATCACAAAATGCTGAGTGCCTGCCAACAAGCACCTTTTCTTACATGTACTGTAAATTCTAGGTTGCGTATGGCAGCTAAGGAGGCAGGCTTTTCAGGAACAGGTACTATTTAAAATGTTCCAGAGAGGAAACTTTTCAAAACTTGATTATGTCCCCATTTCAAGTTTATTATTATGGTAAGTCACATAGTCAGCCAGATGTTCAGAGTGGATTTGGCATTTCTATCCACTTATTGAGTTCTTCTCAAAGACCTGGGATAGGGTGCTGCTGTTTGATAGTGTTTATGGTATCGTCACAGGATATAAGCAATCGGACAGTTGGCGTGGTGGTCATGATGATTCTTGTGATAATAGTGATAGTAAGGTAAAGGTAAAGGTTCCCCTCGCACATATGTGCTAGTTGTCCCCAACTCTAGGGGGCAGTGCTCATCTCTGTTTCAAATCCGAAGAGCCAACTCTGTCCGAAGACATCTCCATGGTCATGTGGCCAGCATGACTAAACGCCAAAGGTGCATGGAGCGCTGTTACCTTCCCACCAAAGGTGGTCCCTATTTTTCTACTTGCACTTTTTACGTGCTTTCGAACTGCTAGGTTGGCAGAAGCTGGGACAAGTAACGGGAGTTCATCCTGTTACACAGCGCTAGGGATTCGAACCGCTGAACTGCCAACCTTTCGATCAACAAGCTCAGCATCTTAGCCACTGAGCCACCGCGTCCCTTAATAGTGATAGTAGTGGTGGTTATATTTTTCAGGAACGCTTGGAAAAGAAAATCTGGCAATGCAGGCTAAAATCCAAGCTCTGATGAAAGTCTGAATTCTGCCCCCTGCAAAAGACTTTTAAAGAAATTCCTTTTGAAATCTGGCCTCCTTTACAATCCTTTTGGGGAGCCACTCTCATCTTTTCCTGAATAGCCACCACTCTAATGGCATTCAGAGAGCTGATGGAAAATAACAAAGAACCCAAATGGCCCATTAACCAGACATTACCCATGTTCATCTGTTATTCTCCTTTCTTGTCTTTTCTGAAGGTGCAGAAGAAGAGAAAGGAAAGCAGGTGATGGATTCCATGCAGCCCGAAGGGCAATGCGATACAGAAAACATTTCAAGTATTGATGGTAAGCTTCCCAAGACCTTTTGAAAAAAGGGTGCAAGCAGCATACACCTCCCTTTCTTAGAATATGGCCACACCTCGTTCAAAGGCAGTCTGCAAAAAGTGTGGATTTATGCAAGCCATCAGTCTTTCCAGTTGTGAAGCACAAGAAATGCTCTACTGCCCTCACTTATGCAATTGAACTTTCAATGGGATTCAGGCCTGAGCACTCAAGCACGGGACTGACACTAATTTGCCTAAGCCAAAAATTCCACTGCTACAAGGAACTCAACTGTAAAGCAAACGCACACAAAAGCAGTTCATTTCCTGCCTTTGTTCTCTCTTGCCTCCCCGTCCCACTCTGTGAACAAGTCCATCACTAGTCAAGGTGATAGGATTAAAAAATTAGCACCAACTGAATGTAGAGAACGTCAACCTTCCCTTTAGTCACCTTTATATGTCAGTGTTAAATCTGCAAACAAAACCTAGTGTGATTTCATTAATTCATTCCAACATTTGGGGCTTATTGTTTAAGTTTGTCTTGCTGTACAAGAGGTGTAGGCACCAAGATTCATTATGATGTGCAGCTAGACACCTTTAGGCAGCGTGCATTCATTTTTGTGAAAGTGCCTATTTTGGATTTTATAAAGAGCTAAATGGCTTTTTTAGAAGAAATAGATGGGATCAGGAACCAAAGAAGTAGAAAATGAGAAAGAATACTGTTTCCTTACAATGATCGTAACCTGATAATGCATTTCAGGATCTACAGGATGGAAAGGCTAAATCTCCAGTCCCTGGTATGCCGGGCTTAAAACAAGGCGTACTCTCTTAGTTCACAAATGATGCTAAGGTATAATCATGGATTACATGCTACAATGGCTAATTCAGTCATAATGTGGTTTATAAGGTTATCCTGTGATTTATTAAACAACATATGATTAAAATAGGACTATTTTAGGACTAGGCTGTAAGCACATTCGCTAGATCCATGATGGTGAACCTACGGTACACGTGCCAGAGGTGGCACGCAGTGCCCTCTCTGATGGCACACGAGCTGTTGTCCCAGTTCAGCTCTGCTGCGCATACACACGTGCCTCCCACTGTCCAGCTGGTCTTTGGGTCTGTGCCATGCATGCACAGGGGGTGGGGCACATGTGGGGCACACAGACATGCACAGGGTGGGGCACATGCGTGGGGGATGTGCATGTATTGCATTTTGGGGGTTCGGGCATGCGCGTGTGCTTTGGGAACTCAGTCCGAAAAAGGTTAGCCACCACTGGGCTAGATAGTATCATTAACGCAATGAGGTTACATTTGGGTAAACTCTGGCAGATAGTGGAAAATAAGGGGACCTGGCATGCTGTGATCCATGGAGTTGCAAAGAATTGGATATGACTCAGCGACTGAACAACAACAATATAAGTAGATATTAAATTCTAGTAAACATGCACAATAATTCCAGAGCTACATACAGAGCTGTGAAAAGGTTGACATGGATTTGCTATGCTGCCTTCTCTTTTTTTATCCTGTGCATACCAACATTTCTAACGCTAGCCCTAACCCTTTTGTTTGAAAGTGTTGGGCTGTTGCTATTTCTGACTAAAGAATTTGAATAAGTCACTCACAATTCATTGGGAAGGGGGATGTCACAGCATAGCAAAAGTTGTGAGCCTATTTGATTTCCTGTGAAGTTTGGTTTTATCATTGATGGGGGAAGGACTTCCTCTTTTTTTTTTTTTTTTATCATACAAGTGAAGAATGAACTTCTTTTTCTTTTTACAATCCCCTAATTTGGGGTAGAATCGGAGTGACTGAATGGAGCTGAGCATTTATTGCCCAGATTCCCTTCCTGATGCCTATGTGGAGTTGACAGCAGATATATTCTCTTTGCACCCTGAGAGAGAAAAATCTGCCATTTTCAACCTTCCAAATGGGAGGCAAACATCTTCAGCCCTAGGCCACCACGCTGCTCACAAATAAAGAATGAACTAATGTGTTCAATCAAATTTAACATCAAGGGTAGATTATTATCATCTGCAGCTATTATTTTTTTCCTAACTAAGCATGTATTGATTTAATTCATTAAGTAGGAAGAAAATAGAGCAAGTAAAATGTTTGACCTGAAGTGCAGGGATCAGTTTTGATACAATACTTATTTCTCTGCAATCTATAGAAAGAGCAGTTTCATTTAAGTTTGAAAATGTCTGTGCTACTACAGTAAGTGGTTTAATCTAGCAAGTGTGGAAGTAAAATATAGATGAATAATTCACAAGCAATTCAACAGAATCTCTGCTAGTATATTGGTATGACAACAGTGAGTCAGAAGCAGATTTGCTTCATAGCATATGACAAGCATATTAATTTTTTTCTATTGTCTTTTATTTTTCAAATCTTCAGTTCAGGTGTGAATTTATTCAGGCAATTTCAAAACTTCCAGTCAAGAGCCTTCCAGGGAAATGCCAAGCATCAGCTATGGATGTGCAAAAACAGTTTTTTTCCACAGAATAACCATAGAAGTATAATAGGAATAAGTTATTATAATTCAATTTCATTCAGCCCTACAGAAACAATTCAAAAGAAAATATATTCAGTAGTATTAAGATCTCAGAGACTAGATATTGTCCATTACATAGTCATCTAGAAGGCTCAGCTTTTGCTCCACAGTACTCTATGGCTATTTCTAATGACAAATAATTGCATCATGATAACCGCCATTTATTGCATTTATAAAATTGTAATAATATGCGTTACAGGGAGTGAGAGTGTATAGAATTATATGTTTTCTATTATAATTAAAATAAGCCTGAAATACTCATTCAAAAGGATCAGATGTGGGTACATTTTGAATATCACTGCTTTTTGCCTGATGGGTATTAGAGTGGAAAGTAATTGTCCTTATAAGCACATCTCATTCAATCATTAGCTTGACTGAAATATTGGATTGTGGCCTTTAGGTCTCGAAAGTTCTATAGTTGGCATCCTTGAAAAGAATGGATTGTCACCTGCAGGTTAGTCCAATTCCAGGGCCAGGAGGATATGGTTGCTGACTGAAATAATGACTGCCTAAGGTGCCTTAATAGCTACAGTGATATCTTTGATATCTTTAGCTGTCTTTAATGCCCATCTGCACTTTACTTTTTATGGTGCAAATGGGCAACTAATTGGTTTGTTGTCTTAACTGGAGTCTGATACTGTTTGTTGAAGACTGCACTCATGTCGACCATGAAAACATGCTCCTGATTAAGATACTAGAGTTGCTGCTATATTTCACACATAGTCACAGCCAGGTGCTGGTTCTCTGGGTAAAAAATTCTGCATATTTTAGCAGCACAGACGTTTCACTTTGCGATTGGTACAGTGAAAAGTTTGCTGTGATATTGTATAGAACTCAACTCCGAATAAAGTTCTATATCAATCAATGGTATCAGTCATAAAGTGTTCAATAGCAGTACTGCAGAGAAATAAATATATATATATATATGTATATGTATATGTATATGTATATGTATATGTATATGTATGTGTATGTATGTATGTATGTACAAATATATCAAATTTATATTTTGCTGATAAAGAAATAAATGGAGACTAGTATAGATCTATTTCAAGCTATTTAACTCTCATCAGCTAGCCATACCCGTACTTGGATTCAAACTTGGGCTGCCTGCATGTTAGGCAGTTGTATTAACCTCTGAGCCACAAGTTCTCCTCCCTTCATCATCTTGAGCCAGGGGAAAGATTAAGGGATGCAGTACTCCCACTTGCTGGGGTTGACCAGGTGTCTCAATAGAAAAACACACACAGACACACACACACACACACACATATGTGTGTGTATGTGTATATATATATATATATATATATATAAAATTATACAAATTATATTTTGCTGCCTATACATATAATGAATATGTATCAGCAAAATGCGAAATAATAGTAATAATATATTATTATTATTAAAAACAAAAATAAATTACATCCTGCAATGATACCTTTAACATCATCAAACAACATCATCTCCCTATCTCAGGCCTTTGGGAAGGACTCAATAAATAGATAAAAATGCCAAATCTAGTCTAAACATCTGGCTGACCATGCAATGAACCAGAATAATAAAGAACTCACTCTGCATATGAAGGCCAGCACCAGCTAAAAACCTGGCAGCTGTGATTTCACATTCTTGTGAACAGATAATAATAATCACGAAGTATCAAGATCTGAAAATCAAAAGATTATGTCATAAACTAGCCTTGATGTTCTCAATGGTTATTGGCACACTGGATGCCATGCCAAAAAATCTTGAACAGCAATAGAAACTTTGTGGATGAACAAAAATGTCCATCTCTCAATTGCAAAAGGCCACACTGCTTTTATGTACACATATACTTTACCGATACATTACAACATCCTAGGTTCTTGGGAAGAATGCAAAGTAATTGTGATTTTCTATTGTTGTGAGTAGATAATAATTAGACTACAAGAGAAAGAACTGGAGGAAATCACAAAATACAAAGATTTGAAAAAAAGAAGCACAAAGATTGTACAAAAGAAATCAGAGGTAGCAGCAATAGTGATAGATGCCTTGGGAACAATCCCAAAAGAACTGGAGCACAACTTGAACTCCATTGGCACTGACAAACTCACCATCAGCCACTTTCAAAAGGCATCCCTACTTGGAAAAGCTCCATCATGAGAAGATACCTTCAGCACAATCAAACAATAATATCTGTGCCTATCCCAGGACCTTGATAGGTTGATAAAAATACCAAATCCAGTCTAGACATCTGGCTGGGTGTGACCAACCACGTATGTTGGCTCCAGGGATGGTATTCACCTTTGCTACCAGTTCACAAATGTGAGTGCGTACACATGTGCCCACCTCCATGCATGCGCAGAGCCTTCCTCGCATGCGCAGAGCATCAAAAACAGGATGTGATGACGTCCAGGCGGGTGGGCGGAGTCTCCCACAGCGACCGCTACCAGTTCTCCCAAATCAGATAGAACCGGCTAAATACCACCACTGGTTGGCTCTCAGCAGAGGTGGGTTTCAGCAGGTTCTGACCAGTTCTGGAGAACTGGTAGCAGAAATTTTGAGTAGTTCAGAGAACTGGTAGTAAAATTCTGACTGGCCCCGCCCCCATCTATTCTCTGCCTCCCAAATCCCAGCTGATTGGGAGGAAATGGAGATTTTGCAGTAACCTTCCCCATGCCCGTCATGCCACGCCTACCAAGCCACACCCACAGAACCGGTAGTAAAAAAAATTTGAAACCCACCACTGGCTCTCAGATAATCCTGCTGTGATCCAAGATGAGGAACTGTCAGATGTTTACAATCTTATAAGGCCATATAATAAAACAATGGTACATACTACATACAATGCTAATGTTAAAATGGCGCTAAACTATTTCAGTGATTAAATCAAATGTTTTATTTCAAATCAGGTTCAAAGACTCTCAAATTCATAGTAATGATTTCAATGTTTCTTTTAAAATGAGCCAGTCAGATTAATTTTTCTTTAGTGTGATTTGGAAATCTTCTAATGCTGCTGATGAAATAATTCAGAAAGAATTTCAGAAAGAATGCCGGCCTGAAAAAGAATGCAGAAAAATAACCGTACTGTTTTGTTTTCAGTTGAAATGAATAGTCAAGTTGAAAACCTAGAAGAGCCTACACAATCACAGACAGAAAATTAATCTCAGGGTAAGTTAATTCATCTTTCCTTTCCATTATATGCTATAGTTTTTATAGAATACAGAATAACAGAGTTGGAAGAGTCCTCAGAGGTCTTCTAGTCCTGCTGAAGCTGGAGACCCCAGGCCATTTTATTACAGCTTTTCCACATGTAATACTTTTATAGATTTGATAGCTAGGAAAACTAATGGAGTCTTTATGTAAAACAAAATATGCCTAAGAATATGAATCTGACTTGAATTCCCAAATACAGTGTTGGAAGGTAAAAAAAAACCCAAACCTCTATGACACCCTTGCTAGCCAAAACACACACTAGAAATACTCCCTCCCCTTTTCCACACATTCCATAGACAGAAGTCTCCGCTGACCTATGTGCAAGGTTATAAAAATATCTTAAACCCTTTTTAAATTAAAATTGACAATGCACAGCCAGCTGATACCGACAAATCAATCAGGAAGCAAGAGCCCATATATCATGATATGGAAACCTCCTAACTCACAATACTCCCCTCCCCAGATCTTCAACACCAGACCCCCCCATGAAAATTCCACACCTACACAAGATTCCACATTTAGAAAAGATTAACCCTCCCTAACCCTTCACATGACCCTCAGGGCAAAAACATGTCAGATCAACATGTCTACACACTCTATAATCAAAGCCTACTTTTGCTATAAATATTACTGCTCTCAGTGTTCTGATTTTGTGGCCACCTTTAAGAACTTTACAGTCCATTATGCTGTCAAAGAAACCATCCTCACCCTCAAGCACATTGTCCTTTTCTTCGAACAACAGTTACTTGGTGAGGCCAAGGATTGTTTGCAGATGAGAACATGGAGTCTTCCAGCCTCTTGCTTCCTTCTTCAACCAGACCCAGTTGCCAAGGGGTTAATGAAGAAGGAGGAATAGAGTGAGCCAAACTGCAGAAGATTTAGACTTACCAATTCTGTCAACAGCCAACAGAGAACATCCTCTTCCTGTGCACAAATTTTCTGTATCTGATCCTTATAATATCAGATATAATATCTGATTTGGTCTATATCAGGTGGTGTGGCAGGAGATGACTAGTGATCACTGATTCTTCTATGGAACTATACATGGGGAAATGAATGAGAATTACAAACAGTTTTGTTTGAAGTACCTTTTTTTAATGGAGCAGTATCTATTTCTTCATAAACTAAACTGCTAAAAAGAAAAGGCCAAATCAGCCATTTCTACTGGCTGGAATTAGGCCTGGCTCTTTGAAATTTATATTCCAGAAGCGATGGATGAATGTTCTGAGAATTTCATGCCCTTGGCTGAACATTGCCGAATGCCACTTCTAACTACTGAACTATTCTGCTCCATAGAAACTGAACTTATAAGCAATTGCAGAGTTTGATTACATGAGAAATGAAAGAGAACACACCGATATGGTCATAGACATAAGCAGCTTGATTACTTGGTAGACAGAAACCAAGACCTGAAAAAACCCAATTCCCTGTCACATCCTAATTATAAAATCCAATTCTGAAATCCATGCCCAAGATAGATCAAACAGAATCACAAATACATTTCATTTCTTTTCCAGTGCTGATTACTTGATGCCGGTATCATATACCACCAAGATGAGCTATTTACACCTATAATGGGATTTCATGTCTCTCCAAACCAAATATAGAAGCTTTGTAACAGTGGCAGTTCTGTCACAGAGATTTTAAAATGTCTTATTACTGTGTGTACTTCTTTGTCCTTGCCAGCATATTGACAATATACTGCAATGCTCCAGATGGGAGAGAGAAATATGAGCTGCAACAGCCTCCATTTAAAAAGTTGTCAAGGAAAAAAAAAAGGACACACCAAATTAAAATGCTGCATTTGAAATTCTTCTTTTCTGTGTCACTTTTTAATTCATGCTCTCTCTTTCTTTCTCTCTCTCTCTCTCTTCTTCCCTCCTTCCTTCCTCCAGCATTACTAAAAATTAAGCTGCCATGTGCTTGACATTTTAGACATAGTTTCAAAGTTTATTACCTCCACTGGTGAGAAAAATATAATTGGTTTCTATAAATTGTTTTTATCTGAATGGAAACGCTATCTTTCTTCTTTGGTGGTTTGGGGTGAAGTAACACATGTACCGTATTCTACAACTGGAAAACTTAAGGCAGCTTCCCCAAATTCCCAGATTGGGGAGCTGTGAGGTTTTATATGAAATAAAGTAGTGCCACCAGTAATAACAGACTTGTTGGTCGTTGTCCTAGCTAACACAGTTGGGTTGTTGCAAGGCCCTTTGAGAAGGAAGCCCTGAAACTCTGAGTTACTGAAGATGAAAACCTTCATCTGGGGTTTGCTAAAGATGAACGAGTACATTTCTTCTTTACTCTGCTCCTGTCCCTCACTATCTCAAGTATATATTATGAGGGGAGGATATATTTAGGGTTTGAAATATCACCGTACTCAAAACTGACAGAGATTATAATGAAAACTGATTTCTTACTGCCAAATAGCAAGAGAAAATTGCCTTACATACCAATCCTTATCTATAGGAGTGGAAGCTTCACTCAATTATTGATTTATTTTCAGGTGCCTTTATAGAAACCTGCAGTCTTAAGACTTAATAGAATGTCTGGTTATGATTATGGTAGCATCCATATTTTATGTTATGTTATCAACCATGTGTAGATTCTTTTTAAAGGAAAGTTAATTTAAGAATGTGTATGTACGTGTGATGATAAATGAGAGATGAGAGAGAAAGGGAGATGGTAGATAACAAACTACAATATGGTGGGTCATATTCAACGATGGTCAAATGCCTACACAAACCAAATGGGGGTGTGGGGGGGAAGCAATGTTTGGATGCAGCCTTTCCTCAAAATGTCTTTAAAAATTGTCCATGTATGCTACTGCTGAGTATCAATCTATCTAGTGATGTTTTGGTGCAGATTGAAGGGCTATACAGGACTGCAGAAGGAGAGAATTTAAAGTGCCCCAGAATAAGCATCTTTTGCTCACAGGGGAGCTGCGGTTAGATGGAACTTGCCCAGGGTTGCTCAGCCATAATGCCTGCGAAAAATTCTGGGTTTAGAATAGAATTTTTTATTGGCCAAGTGTGATTGGACACACAAGGAATTTGTCTTTGGTGTATGTGCTCTCAGTGTACATAAGGAGGATAAAATACATTCATCAAGAATAAAAAGATACAACACTTAGTGATAGTCAAGGTTACTAATAAGCTATCAAATCATACTAGGAAACAAATAAAAACAATATAATTGAAAGATACAAGCAACATAATAATAAGTGGAAAGAGATAGATACTAGTAAGGAAGAGAAGAATAATAGTAATACAGTCTTAGTAAATTATTTGACAGTGTTGTGGGAATTAGTTGTTAAGCAGAGTGATGGCATTTGGGGGAAAACTATCCTTGTGTTTCCCCGAAAATAAGACCCTGTCTTATATTTTTTTGAACCTTGAAATAAGCGCTTGGCCTTATTGCCATGCGCTCAAAAGCCCAATTGGGCTTATTATCAGGGGATGTCTTATTTTGGGGGAAACGGGGTAGTTGTTCTGGTGTGCAGGATTCCAAGGATCACTCTTATGTTAGGAAGGTCCTTAGCTATTCATTTTTTTAGAGTTGTAATAGCAGAGTTTTATCCTTATGTTTCTCTGCACTGACTATCATGTGGAACTTTGCTCTACAACCGTAAACCAAGAACAAATACATCCATGCCCTCGTCCCCCCTGGTAGGCATCTTCTGCTGGCACAGCGGAAGCAACTGGATGGGACTCTTGGTAAATTTACATAAAACAAGACTGTGGGGAAATACAGAGGTAATATCGATAATTACCGAGATTCAGCCAATGCAGTGGGAGAAGAAATGTAGATAGCAGGATATGAAGCAGTATAATTGCTTACCGGTTATATAAAAAAAGATAATGACATGGGAAAGAAAGGGGAGGTGGGGGAAGAGAGGGAGATGAAGGACTTCTTCTTGCTTTCAGGTATGACAGCAGATCTGATTGGGAGGAGGAGGAGGAGAGCCCAAAAAGACGGGAAAGTGTCAGAACAAAGAATCCCTTTCATTCCAGATCTTTCACATAGTCTGATGTTATCGTCTTGATCAAAAAGCTTTTCTCTGCATTCAGGGAACTTTAAGCAGACACTAATTGGATCAGCCATTTAAAAACCCTCCTCTAATTAACATTTATATATTATTATGTGATGTTTAGCAGATTTCTCCCTCCTTATCCCCCTCCCAACATTAAACATTTAAACTTTTGACTGCTAGAAACTTTCAGATGTATCAAAAGAATATATCATACCTGCTACTCTGGGCAAAGGCACTAAAAGGCTTTCTGACATAAACATTGCTACATCAGTTGTAGGACACAGCACACAACCATTTTTTTTCTTAGATTAATAAAAGCTGCTAACTATTACTTTAGATGTACGAATTAAATTTTGATTCCTCTGTGATTATGTGCAGAAAAATGGGGGCTTCTGCCACAATATTCCTCAGAATGCAGTTCAATATTGCACGATAATCCTGGTAGGATAAATTTTAGATATCAAATAAGATTTTTTTTTAAAAAAAAATGCTGAATTAGCTACCTGAGTTTTGCCACCGTGCCATTCTTGTCTTATTGTAAGATGAACATTTACATCCATAAATATCTATATTTATGAATTAATTGCAATCCTGATTGCAATTAATTACTCACTGTTTTGAACTGATGTCCCACTGTTCCATTTACTTAGCTGGCATTCATCAGAAAGGGTAGGAAAGCTCACTTTCCTTCCTTCCTTCCTTCCTTCCTTCCTTCCTTCCTTCCTTCCTTCCTTCCTTCCTTCCTTCCTCCCTCCCTCCCTCCCTCCCTCCCTCCCTCTCTCCCTTCCTCCCTCTCTCTTTCTTTTTCTTTTATTTTAATATGAGCTATTTGATCTGGCTCCCTTTCTTCATGGAAAAACTGAGGAGAGTAGCATACATTCCAGGTGTAGAACATGTTTTTTTTTGTTATGCAAATAGGGCAATCAGTAATGGTATTCAGCTGGTTCTATCCGGTTTGGGCCAACCGGTAGCGGAGCTATGGAGGCTCCGCCCACCCGCTGGACGTCATCACGTCCTGTTTTTAACACTCTGCGCATGCGCAGAAGGTCCTGCGCATGTACAGAGGTGTCACACGCGAGCGAAGCGAGAGCACGCACACACTCACACTCACATTTGCAAACCGGTAGCGAAGGTAAGTCAATACCACCCCTGAGGACAATCTTTATGAAAGCAAATGATTGAAAGATGAAGTAGGAAATCCCACATGATTCCAAGCTCATTAGTTAAGTAGTTACATTCTGAAGAATAAATTCATATTCAATTGATAATTGGCCATAGTTATTAATCATTTACGTATCTTTTACAATAAACAAACTTATATTGCCTTTAAGGAATATAAGCATGTAACATATTATCTTACAGACATAACACTTGTTAATGTCTCCTCCTGATTCCTTGTAGAAATAAATGTAGATCCAAATCTGAAATGCTTCCCTACCTTTGCTTTGATAGGCAGTTCACCTGACAATGGGGAGCATGCTTTCCACTGATACTTCTTCAAAGATTTGTCCTCGGGTTTTGTTTTTCATGGATATTTTTATTATGTACATGTCCACATTAAAATTGGAGAACTATGACATGCTCAATTTCCCAAGTCTTAAAATTCTCCAACTTAAGGAATGTTGTTGAAGCAGGATGCACAGAATCCACCGAAGTTAAAAATAATAATAACCCAGCACCTTTTACCATCTGTGGTGGACTTGCCCTGAGACCAAAAAGTTTTGGTTAAAGATTCGACTCTGGCTCTCGGAAATAATGGGACAAGAGATAGCCCTGGCCCCGGAATCCTTCCTCTTAGGTATGATTGAAGATGGCCTCGACAACAATAAAACCCAACTGGCAATTCAAATTATTACTGCGGCTAGATTAGCCTTTGCGAAACTCTGGAAATCCAACTCTACCCCCTCTGAAGAAACATTAATAAATAAAATTCTAGAGTGCGCAGAGATGGCCAAATTGACGAGCGAGCTAAAAAATGAAGAGAATTTTAAGTACTACGAAGTATGGGGAATTTGGTATAACTGGTTAAAGAATAGGATAAAAATATGATAATAGGCTACGATTTGTTAGACACCCGAAATGGACTTAATTGTATAGAAATGTAGAGAATTGTATAGAACTGCATATTGTATAGCTATGGATAGAATTCATTTAATGTTTGATCTATGAAATGTGTAAACATTGCACCTCGGATCAAGATTGTGATTGTACATTGTCTTTTTAAAAAATTGGAAAATTCAATAAAGTATTTAAAAAAAAAAAAATAATAATAATAACCCACAGCATTTTCTGCACATGTTGCCTAAAAAGGGATATCTCAGAAAATGTCGGGTGCTGGAGAAATCAGGAGACTTAGACAATTCAAATTATAAAGATTTATTGTAAGCTTAAGCTCTCTACAAAAATCTGAGCTACTAACAGTCAAGGAAAATGAGTGGGAATTAAGAAGGCATTCAAGGTGGGCTGGACTTAGATCTCTTGCAGGCATGCAAGGACTCATGATATTTGATGCATTTCACCCCTCCCTCAGGCTCAGCATGGTCATCTCCTACAGAAAACCCAGAAACAAGGAGAATACAATCGGGATGCCACGGTTATTCCCTCTGCAGTGAAAAATGTTCTGGATAATGTTTACACCATCAGCTCCTTTTTTTCTCTCTCTCTCTCTACAGAAGACCAAGATGATAGAAGAAAGCAGGAAGTGACCGAAGATCTGCAGTCACTAGTGCATTATTTGATGACATTCTGACTAACAGACAGCAGCACACCATGGAGTGCAAAATAGGGAGGGGGAGGGGAGGGCAAGGCAATTAAGGGATTTGACTGATTCTTTATATTTGTTTTCTCTTCTCCTGTTCAGTTGGTTTGGTAGATGACATGAAGCTTCTTTACTATAGGTTGTAGAGTCTTGGTTTAGATTTCTTTGCCTCATTCCTATCTGTTCTGCCTCTCCTTTTGAAATCCTAAGGCCCCATTTTTCTGAGTATATATTGTTAGCTTCTAAATACTGTCTCTCAGTTGCAATTCCTCTTCAAGGCAAAATAGGAAAAGGATGTTTTAAGCATTGTCCTTCAAGAGTCTGAGGGTTTCTTTGGAGTGTTCACAAAGCACTTACATCTGTCATTACTCCCATCAAGTAAAGATGCTGGCGGTACTAGTATCCTTTGATCTGTTGGTAAAGTCAACTTGGAAACTAGTTTATACAGGGATTTATACAAATGTTTATGCACATAAACATTTCAGCTTGGTAGACTTTTCCTAAAGCCAGTATAACTACAAGAATTAAGGGTGAATAGACATGTTACCGTGAATAAAGATTTGAGGGTTACTAATGTCAAAATTACAACCTCTCCATTCGGGGACTAACAAAAACAATTCCAGTCACATGGCTGATACCCCATGTAGAGATTCTCTATGTAAAGTAGAGGCTGAAAGGCACTTCTAAATGGAGATTGTCCATAATCAAACTAAATATAGATTACAACTCCTGCACAGAGATGCCCTTACACAAAGTGCTATTCAGCCATTTCCAGATCAGAGCTAATGACATTTGAATTAGCCCCCAGACTGTTTTAACTCAGACCCAGGAGAATAACTAAATTGTCCACAGACAGAATGCAAATGAGTGTTATGGAAAAATACATCTCTCAATGAATAAGAGTCACAGTACCGAAGAAAGGATCGTCCATATTCAGGAGAATAACTTTCTTTGATCCCCAAAATCAGGACATGGATTTCTTTTTCCTGCTTGTAAGCATCCCAAGATGTGGAGTATGTCTAATGGGTTAGATTTTTTTTTTTATAGGACAAACAATCTCCACAATTAGCCAACTCCTTGCAAATCTACTCATGGCACGAAACCTTTTATCTATCCTAGTGGTATTTCTCCACAGCTCAATATTGCATTGCTTACTAATAGGTGAACATCTCTGGAGTATTTGGACATGTCTAAAGTACCTATTAATTCCAGTGCCCTCTGGGTAAGAGGGGTTGCAGATACTCTGCATCTCGCACACAGTATAATATGGCTTGTGGCTTTAACAATTTCATGCCTACTCTTGTTACATTTTCAACTGCATATGCACACTTTTTAAATACATAAAATGCAATTAACAGATATTGGTGATGAATGTTGTACCATATGTCATCTGTTTTGCTAGCAAATGCTGGGCTCAACTGAAAAACAAAATTTTGCATTCATTTTTCAACTACATTGTAAATTAAACTGATACCCTACTTGCAAGATTGAAAGAACACTCAGCATGGGACCAAGGCTTGATATTCTGTAAACTAGTTTCCAACTGCTGTTAAAAACAATTACAGGAAGGTTTTTCTGTATTATGAGATGCTGGTTTTGCGTAATTATGCATATGTACCATCTTCCAAACTTTTTTAAATAATTCCAAATATAACAAAGGTGTATGCACATGAAAGGATGCTGAAATTTACCAGCCTCGGCTTACTTGTAAATATCTCTAACACAAATCTCAGATAAATAGTAACCATTGTTTATGCTTACACTAGAATACCCAACTATAAATTGGTTCGTGATATCTAATTTGTAGAAAGATTTTTGAAAAATGAAAATTGGTTTCAAATAGATACATAGCTTTGTTGCCTTATAAGCAATATTTATGTATTCAAAACCCACCGCATTCTAAAAATTTGATACTTTTAACTATTGATTTCTCTTCTCTTTTTCAACCATTCATTACATTGGTGACCTGGAAGATTCCTTTTAGTTACCACATAAGCACAGTATCATCCAGATTAATATGAATTTATATTTCAATGAAATATATAAAATGTTTGGTTACACTTATATCAATACCATCTGATATTTTTGATATGCTTATTAAGAATGTATATTTAGTCCCCCATTTATCCATGGAGCACATGTGCCTCTTTTCTTCTCCATTCCTGCTTGACCGTTCCTATTTCCCTCTAGCTCTCCTTGCCACTGAGCTGTCATTTCTGTTTCAGTTTACTGTGATTCAAAGACTTAGTTAGCCATCCAACGTGAATTATTGCAATTCAACAAAAAGCAACAAAATCAAAACAAGTGAGGCAACCTTCATTGCATGGCTCTCCTTGCCCAATTGGGGTCATGCATGGAAAGAGATTTTTTTTAAAAAAATAAATAATTCACTACAATATGTGATACATGATGGTGGAGTTTAAAAAGAATTGTAGCCTGGGATTCCTCTGCATGCAAATTTGGGAAAGAAATCCTTCATCCTTTTCTCCAAAAGAAAAAGAAAAAATTGCAAGGCGAGACAGAAGTATTGGGCTTGTATAAATTTTACAAGGTGGCCAAAATGTCTTTTCTAGCTTGTTTTGAGCCTTTCATACTTCAGACATGCTTTCAGCATCACCGAGCACTTTGAAGTGAAGAAGACTTTTCTATCCCACTTCTGGAATTTTATGAGACACGGTCATAAAATGTTGCATGGTCACATATTTGCTTCTGGGAATGCCAAGAAAGAGGCCCCAAATTGCTGCTAGCGTAAATGGGGGGAACCTCTGTTGGTGGCGGAAGAAAAAAATGGAAAATTTTGGCCGCCTTGTAATGTTTATATCTCTATGAGCCTCCCACTCCAATCTGGTACAATCTATACAGATTTCTAAAATAAACATTGGAACAAAAATTTGCCTTTAGAATTGTGTTCCAAAAAGAGACCTAATGGGTCCCATAATCCCAATAAATATATTTCGGCTTCTGAAAATGACTTTCTTCACCGGTTCACATCTGTGCCCAAAACACCTTGCTTTTGGGGTGTGATAGCAAAGCATGAAGCCAAGATTAAACACTTCAAACAGGAAAGTGGCAGGATTATTCCTGCTAACTATGCCTTCTTGGGTTGAGGGGGCTTACTTGCATTGAAATGAGTAAATACCACAGACAGGTTTCAGACTGAGTTCATGATGTTCTCATAGGGCCTGTGTGTAGTTAGGTAAACCATATGTGCATTAATTAAACTATTGTTTTCTTGCAGCTTGTGTCACATAGGAACAAGTTTATGGATTCTGAGTTGAAGTTGTTTGAGCATTAGATACTAGAGGAACCCTTAAAACAGGAGGTTGGGGGTTCAACCATCCTTCTTCTGCTGCTATCATCCATTAGACAGTAGGGTGTTGTTTTTTTCTTCCTTTTCTTTTTTCTTGCAAGTGCAGGGCCTGCTTTTCTCAGATAATGGATATTCTTAAGCAAATGTGCCTTTGGCTATTTGCCCATAAAGACAAAGGATGCACAGCAAGTTCTTGAATTGATCTCACTTTCTAAGTGGGCTGTACTGAGATAGGTAGTTTCTTCCTACTGAGTTGATCACTGGCTCTTTTTACTAAGTATTATCTGCACTGGGGGGCAGTAAATCTCCATCATTTCAGACAGATTATTTCTCCCAACCCTAAAATTTTGAGGTCTACAAGGAATATGCACCAATCCTATAGGTTTCCACCACCACCACCAAAAAACAAATCTTGCAAAGAATGTATTACTATTCTTTTGCCTGTTCTTGGAAATGACACCAGCTGAAAGATACTACTTATTCCTAAAGATTGTTATGTGGCTTGATAAAGCATCATCATAATTTGCCTTTTCACTCCCCAATCTCCTTAAAGCATTGTGGTGTTTAAGTTTTAGAAAGGAGCAAAAATAGAAGGTATTAATGTAAGCAAGAAGAGAGTTAGAAAAATAAGCACAGAAAGCAACTGAAACTTTGGCTAAATCTGAATGATCTCGGAAAAAAATGTGTGAGCAAAATATCCTGATCAGTAGACATTTTCCCATATTCGATCATAGCCATCTTTTCTGACTGTTGCCAACATCTTCATTTCGGTTCTCATTACCAGTGATGCTTCTCTCTGATCTAAATGCTTTGCCTCCCTACGCTATCACCAAGAATGAAGTAGAGAGAGGACTCTTGGACTAGGAAGGTGAAAAAATCCGATGACATTTCAACTGTCTGATTTCCAACTCGACTGTATAAATTATTATTTTTCTCACTTAGAAATCTAGGCTTGGAGAAGGTTGCTTTCATACAACCAACCAGATAGAGAATAATACTATTAACTTATTTTCTTTTGGCTAGTCCTACCCAGACACGCTTTAATAGCAATTAGAATCAGTTTTGTTACCATTTAGGGATGCCTGGACAGTACATTCTGAATGTTGTGGATTTTTATATTAACAACATAAATTTACGGACAATTAAAGAGTACAAGCTCTCCAGCACCACCACCCTGTCCTCCACAGCCACTTTCACAATACTTTGAGCATTAAGATCAAAGGTCTGTCTCCAAAGAGGGGACTTTGTATTATTTTGAGAAACCTGTGTTTAATGACCTCCTTCTACATCGATGTTCTGCTTTAGCAATTCTTCTGGTACCAGACTTGCCTCTTTTTCATGAAAACATACAGAGCAGGCAACTGATACTATTAGGCAATATATTGTTCAATGCAACTAATTGTATTTCTTCTCCCAAACGAGGCTTCCCCCTCCCTCTCTTTTATGAATTAACATTGTTCAGTTTACACACTTGATTTGAACAAAACACATTGTCTTTATATGCAGCGCATGTCTGCTTTGCTTTTAAAATGACAAAGTTAGCCAAATACGTTGGATATATTTTCTTGGGAAATAAGGTTTTTTGTGACATTTGTGATATAAAGAAAGTCAGAAAAAAATGTAATTTTCTTGATCAAAAATACGTTTTTACTTCAATGCAAATAATTGTAGTACCTTGCTTGCAAAATATCTTCTAAGAAATAATACAGACTTCTACATAGGGTTAATACAAGGCTCTTTTGTTAATCTGCCATTTAAATGCTGGATTTGCTGATGAATCTGTTTTTCTTTTTTTTCCCCTTTTGTCTGTGCCATGCCTAACTAAAAACTCTAACAAACAATGCCTTCATACTAAAATGTTTGTTAAAAGCAAAATAAGAATAAACCTTGAAACTGAAATATTTGCATGTTTGCCATATTTGCAAAATGTGTGTTGTGTGGCCACATTGATATGAATATCTCAATGTGAAATCTACAGTTTACTGATATTTCCCAGAAGAAACAAAGGCTTCATGCATAAGATGATCCTGTAAATGATACAAACGTTGGAGAAATAATGGAATTTATAGAAGAAAGAATGAAAAAGCAAACCTTATGAGACAATGCACTTATTTTTGAAGGCAGTTTTAGCTATGCCACAGCTGATTTTACTAGCCCTATAATACTGGCGAGGGACGCAGTGGCTCAGTGGCTAAGACTGTCAATCGAAAGGTCGGCAGTTCAGTGGTTCAAATCCCTAGTGCCACGTAATGGGGTGGGCTCCTGTTACTTGTCCCAGCTTCTGCCAACCTAACAGTTCGAAAGCACATAAAAAATGCAAGTAGAAAAATAGGGACCACCTTTGGTGGGAAGGTAACAGCGTTCCGTACACCTTTGGTGTTTAGTCATGTCGGCCACATGACCACGGAGACATCTTCAGATAGCGCTGGCTCTTCGGCTTTGAAACGGAGATGAGCACCGCCCCCTAGAGTCGGGAACAAATAGCACATATGTGTGAGGTGAACCTTTACCTTTACCTATAATACTGGTGACATTGGGCTCATTGGAAGATGGGTCAAAATATTACAATATTGTCCTGAGGTAGTCATTTGTTTAGTTACTATTCACAGCTACAGTGGCCCTGAAAAAAGTTACAACTGATCCTCTCACAACTGTAGCATCCCCACAGTCATGTAGTTTGTGTGTGTGTGTGTGTGTGTGTGTGTTTGTGTCTCCAATCACTTGAGATAGAAGGATTCAGCCCCGGTTCCCAAATAGGTAATTAGATATGGTTGGGATGTGAGAATGAAACTCTTTATGCTTAATAACTAGCTATAAAAGGCCTTATGAATGTATTTATGTATTTATTTATTTAAGGTATTTATTTCTATGGCCTCCCATCTCATATACATGACTGTGGGCGGTCAACAATTAAAATAGAGTGAAAACAATAAAACAGCTGCATCTAAAACAGAAATAGTATGAAATAGCAGCTGAGAACATACCGCTGTAAACTAACCACAAAAATGGGCTCAGCCATACTATCAGCTTGACAGCAAAAGCAGGTTTTTAGTTATTAGAGTGTTTGATAGACTTGACTCAGTTGAAGGAGTGTGTCTTTCTCTGTGAAGTAGCCAATGAACTGCTGGAGTTTGTGTATAACAAAATGATGGGTAGGAGCACTTTGGACAACATAACAGGGAAAAGTGCATTACAGAGGCAAGGCAGAAAAATATACTCTAAAGTGACTTCAGTTAGGATTAATAGAGGACAAATTATGCATTGTAGATTGCTTGGAGGTGAGAGATACTTCCAATGTAATCTACTGGATCCCCTGCATGGATTGCCCCTATGACTATGTAGAAAAGATGGGGAGGAAGCTAACCACCAGATTGCAAGAACGCAAGGGAGTGGTCAGACAAGGAGACCCAAACTCATTGATAGCCTCACACTGCAATGAACAAGGACATACATTCAATTATGCAGCTACTAAAATCGTTGGGCGAGCAGGCACAAAAACAGCCAGGCTGGGAAAACGGGCCCCTCTTCAGTCTACAGGAGTGCTGATTTACCATCAGCTTATCAAGTACTTAAGAAATGAGGGCTTGGCAGCACAAGGAAACAACAGCCAATGACTTAATTGCTGGCCATCAATACCCAAGTCAACCAACAAAAAAAGCCACACCCAACCAGGAACAATATAAATACTGTGCATAGAACAGCCGAAAGCACACACGGTGCTAGAGTTCCCTGAAGATGGGCTCCAGCATGAGTCAGAAGGCTAAACCTCTGGCCTTGATGACAAAGTTCGAAAAATTGCTATCTTTTCTGATGATGGGGCAACAGAGTAATTGGGATACATCCTACAATACAGGAATGCAGAAAGCCACCTCCATTATTACCTGAGAAGATTTGTCAACTTCTCCTAGTCCTGTGACCCTGCAAACTCCTTCAGAAGGTTTTTAGAGCTGTGGTGGTGCAGTGGTGAGATCGCAGTACTGCAGGCTACTTGTGCTGCCTGCCGGCTGCCTGCAATTTGGCAGTTCAAATCTTACCAACCGAGGTTGGTAAAACGAAGACTCATATTGTTGGGGGCAATATGCTGACTCTGTAAACTGCTTAGAGACGGCTGTAAAGCACCGTGAAGTGATATATAATTCTAAGTGCTATTGCTATTGCTATTTTCAGCCAACTGAAACAGATTTGAAGAGCACGGAAGCGGGGAGAAAGAATTTCTCTGGCTGGCAGATGGAGTTTCACCTGCAGAATGACATGATTGGATGCAACCCATCCGTCTCTACATTAGCAGTCTGCATCTCTTTCCTGCTGATGTGCAGTGACAAGAACAAGCTGCACATTGGACTAGGGGAAAATTATTGCAACTGTTTTTCTCAACATTTACAGTCCTTCCCAGAGGGTAAAATGATAAGTGCATGGCTCCTGCAGAGCTGTGGAGAAACAAAAATTGTGCAAAATTAAAACTATTTGGAAAAATACAATTCTGGATTTGGTTAATGCAGATATCCATTCTTCACACAAATAGTGGAATGGCAATGCAGATGCTAATAGGGAGCCCAGATTTTTTTTTTTGCATCGACAACTTTTTAATGTTTTTGTTCATTTTGCTTTTTGTTGATCATTTTTTTCTGAACCATGAATTTACTACACGTAAAACTGAAAAGACAATGAAAAACCAGAAGGCCAAATACGATTAAATAAATAGAATTTATCTAAACTGGAATACTATATCCAGTTTTGGTCACCACAACATAAATAAAGAAGTTGAGACTCTAAAAAGAGTGCAGAGAAGAGCAACAAAGATGATTAAGGGATTGGAGGCTAAAACCAGGTGAAATGCTCCCAGTTCAGACCAGATCGGGCGATCTGGTAGCGATTGTGGCAGGTGGTTCGGAGAACTGGTAGTGATGGCGATGCGAGTCTCCGCCCACCCACCCGGGTGTCGTTACTTCCTGCTTTTAAAAGTTAAAAAAAAAGGCTCTGACGATCGCGCACCACAACTGTGATCATCAGGTCCTTTTTTTACTTTTAAAAGCATTTTTTACAACCTATTTGCCCAAAAAGGACAGAGCCTTTTTAAAAACTTTTAAAAGCATTTTTCTCAGGGACTTTCTCCACCCCGAGACACTGGCTGGGGCGCGTCTCCCCATATTCCTCTCGCCACCTCTGTGGCTGTTTGCTGCTTTTGCACTTAAACTTAGCGCACTGCACAGTGGGGGAGACGGTGTCCCCTCCTCCTCCTCCTGGAGCCCATTATGACGCGGAGCATTGGCTGCAGCCGGGCAGCCCAGCCTAGGTGTGGAGAAAAGTCGTGCATCTCCCAACAAGGTCTGGAAAAAGAGGCAAGTAGAGGGGTGCTTTGCTTCCACTCTGGAATACAGAGTGAGTCTCCATCTCCCACTGTCGCCCTTCTATTCTCAGCACAGGTGAGGATTAAGGGTGAGGGAAGGGTGCGGGGGGGCAGCCAGCCGTCAGGGAACCACAGCAGGGGGCTGAAAGAGCTTCATTTATCTGGGAACCTGAAATGACTCTTGATTTAAATCATATGGTAAAAAGCATCCAAAGAAGAAAGAACAATATCAGCAAAAAAATCCCGAACAAACCCAATCCTTGCCTATTTTTGGAAATGGGTTCAAGAGGGAACACACACATGCACGCACGCACGCACACACACACAAACGAGAGAGGGAGAAAGAGAGAGGGAGAAAGAGAAAGATGAGAGAGAGAGATGAGAGACAGAGAGGGCTGCCTGCCGTTTCCTGATGTAGTCGGGCAGTGAGAGAGAGTGAGAGAGAGAGATTCAGCTCCGTCTGCTCCCCTTAAGGCAACCTTGTGGTGCTGTGCTGTAACAGCCTGACAGTCACTCCTTTTGCAATGCAAGGTTTATTTTGGTATCTTTCCAGAGACAGAAAGAATGTGGCCGAATTTCCTTACAGTTATTCCCTGGGAGTGGTGGGGAGGGAGGGAGAGAGAGAGAGAGAAAGAGAAAAAGAGAAAGAGAAAGAGAAAGAAAGAGGAAGGAATTTTTGGATTTCACCACTGATTTATATGGAGGATTAGTGGGGGGGGGGAATGCGCGGCCTTCTGGGATGGAGAGCGGGGCAAGAGAACGCTCCGATGGTTGCTTGGGTGGTGGAGGGAAACTCAAAGCGTTGGGGGCTTCAGAAGGGGCAGAATGTGCTTCAAAATGTACAGCTCCTGGTTCTAACACTGAGTGACGTCAAGTTGGCCATGCCCACCCGGTCACATGACCACCAAGGCACGCCCATCAAGCCACTCCCACAGAACCAGTAGCAAACATTTTTTACATTTCACCCTGGCTAAAACATATAAAGAACGGTTGCTGGAATTGGGTATGTCTAGTTTAATGAAAAGAAGGACTAGGGGTTATATGATAACAGTGTTCAAATATCTATGGGTTGGCCTGCCACAAAGAAGAGGGGGACTGTCAGAGCCATATTTTCTGGGGCTAAGGGCAAGTACAATCAATATGATTCTGATTTGCCCCTCCCCAAAGGTAGACTAATTGAGATCCCTGGGAGGTAAGCCTATCATGAGCTGAATATTAACTTTATTCTGATTTGGAGTGAAATCAGAATAGAGAAGAGGGGATCAACCTATTCTCCAAAGCAGCTGAAGGCAGAACAAGAAGCAATGGATAGAAACTAATCAAGGAGAGAGCCAATCTAGAACCAAGGAGAAATTTCCTTGGTTCTTGACAGTTAGAACAATTGATCAGTGGAATGACTTGCATCCAGAAGTTGTGAATGGTCCATCACTGGAGGTTTTTAAGAAGAGATTGGACAACCATTTGTCTAAAATGGTATAGGGTTTCCTGCCTAAGCAGGGGGTTGGATTAGAGGACCTCCAAGATTCCTTCAAACTGTGTTATTCTGTATCCA